TCAGCAAAGTCGAGTGGAGAGAGAAGCTTCTCCTAGTGAGAGTGTGGCCTCTGCGAGTCACGAGCTATCATGAACTGCCCGTCCTCTCCTGCCGTGGACACAGAAGCGGTTGTCACTTAGGAGAAGGAGCATAGGGACATAAAGTGGGATATAGCAACGGGACATTTTTACTTGGCTCTGGCATGTGTCTGTATGGGTACATTTTACCTGCCTCTGGACTGGGTCCTGCTTCCAGCCCCCACCACACACTGGTGGCCCCAGCCCCTTCCCCACCGCAGTCCAGATTTCTAATAATCCTTGATAGTAATTATTTTTAAAGCTAAGCACAATACAAACTTCAAGTAACTGGAAAGTTCAACGAATTAGCATTCTACTTAATTGAATCAAGGTCTTATCATTCTGAGGGAATACATTTCCATTTCCATTGGCATATATATCACCTCTTGTTTTTTACCGCAGGTGGCAGATATTTGAGTTTTGTCACGTGGCAATAAAAGGGGAATTCTCCTTTGCAGGCACGCGATGAGCCACTCTAGAGAACCGGGGGGTCTGGGCTAACCTATCCACTTCAGTCAGGGATGTCTTGGGTATTTATTGACCTCAGTATTGAATGAGTTGGGAGCAGAAGGTATTCCTTAGACAGGAAGTAGGAACTCAATGGGTGGCCCAAAAGAAATGGCTGGAGTATAAAACAGGAAGAGACAAGGAAGCAAAGTCAAGCTAACAAAACACATGGTACCTAACAACATGACCTGTGTCTGTTAATGATGCTTGGTCCAGCTATTAGCCTGAAGCAATAACTAAACTCTTTGTCCACCATCACCCCCCCCTCCCCAGCCCAAACTCGTTTCTACTCCTGCATTCTCATTCCGGAGATGTCTTTACCCATTCAGGTGATCTCTCGACCTCTGGAGTAGTTTAGTGTACAATTTGAGAACCTCAGGCTTAGAAATTGTCCGCTGTTGGGTTAGATCCCCTATTCTGGACTCTTGGCACACTGCACATTCCTGTGATGGCCCTTCGAGTATTGGGTGGTGATAAGCTACTTGTGTGTCTTTCTCTGAGGCTGTGAACCCTCTCAGGCAAAGATCATGCTCTCCTCTTTGGACACCAGTGATATTGCAGGGCCTGGCTGGCCTACAACTGAGAGAAACCGAAATAACAGGCAGGTCAGACACAGTGGAACCCCAGAGAACCAGGTGGCCCTAGAGGAAGTCAACCTGGATGGCAGTCAAGCTCAAATCTATGGTTCTGAGAGGGAACGAGAATCCCACTGGATCTGGAAATGGTCCCAGCCTGCACCTGCCTGGTCAGGCCTGAGTCAGCCGAGGGAACCAGAGGCTGATGTCTCAGAAAGGGGCCAGCAGAAAGCTACACTCCACAAACTCTTGGTTTTGTTTTTTGGTTTTCATTTGGTTTCCTGGTAAGAGTTCCTTAGGAGGAGAAGAAAAAAGAGAATGGAAGGGAAGCAGAAGGGAAAGGAGGGAAGGAAGGACAGGAGGGAGAGGGAGGAAGGGAGGGCGGGAAGGAAGAAGGGAGGAATACTTTGTCTCAGGCAAGCTACCGGGAAAGGGATTTTTCCTTTCCAAATCTCCTTCAAAGGCACGAGGGTGTCTCTGTGACCCTGGGGCCAGACCAACCTTGAATCCAAAAATCAATGGAGATTTCTGCACAGTGGGAGGAATCCCAGACGCCGTGGAACGAGGCCATCAGTGGGTGCTGCAGGTCCCTCCCCTTTTGGCTAATAATTTCCTCACAGCTGTGGCCTGATTTTTTGATTGGCCATTGTGTTTATCTTATTTGTGCAGTTCTTCCCCATCCTTAGTAGACATGTGATTTTGCATCATTTTTTTTTTCCTTATTCTGCAACAAATGAGCCCTAGACATAATTGGGAAGGTTGGGACCAGGATCAGAAGTCAAATTTGTGTTCACATATGATAGAACTTCAACGACTCATGTGTTCCACCGATTCTAACCAAGGGGGTCCCATTTAAACCACTAATTGCTATAATTTGTTGCTAAAATCCAATGGCTGGGTTACTGGCATTTTAGTTTAAAGGGACACTCCTCTTTTATCTGCTCAGGGTCTCAGGCCATCTCTCAAGTGAACCCTCTGCCAACTTCTGAGTTGTTCTGAGGGTGGCAGACGTTCAGGCTCAGTCTGGGGTTTGGGGTCCACCCCACACACTCCCACTTGCCCTTGGCATTGGCCCCACTGGATGGCCCATGGATGTGGGTGCTCTATGGCAACAGGCTTTCTTCAGCAGAGTGGAGTGTTCTCCTGCGCCCATGTTCGGTCTGTTCTGTGGGCTGAGTTCTGGGAACAAACTCAACGCAAATCAGTGCCAGCCTAGCAGTGGGTGAAAGGGTAGCAGGGTTTGCCCGTGACTCATGACCCAAGGAAAATGGGACCTTACTCCTCTTGCAAACTGCCTGGGGAATTGCAGTCCCCTGTTTCAGATAAATAACTAGTTTCTAGAAATTTTCAAAAAAATAAAACTTTAAAGCACATTACTGCCAGAAATTTCTTCCTGGTAGCTAACTTGAGCCCTTTGTACTGTAGCCAAGATTTGTTTTATTTTGGCCGACCCTTACCAAAATGGTAAGGGTCTTTGATGTACCAAAGTAGGTGCATCAGATACAATAACCCTCCACAAAATGAGGACCTCTCTGACTAGGTGTTCTCCACAATGAAGAATTTGAATTTCCTTAACCTTGCATCACAGTCTTATCACCCAAACCTTTAATTATCTTTTTCAATTTATGTCTTTGAACCCTTTCCAAAACTTGTCTTTTGAGTTACGGAGACCATAACTTAATTAGATCTTTCATTTCCAGAGGATACTCCTAGCGCTTTGGAAGAAATAAATTAAATTTCAGTCGGATATATTTCATTGGAGGAAGGGTGTAGAAAAAAGAAATTGGATCCTTTGTATAAATAGCACATTGTCTGGTACCATAAATGAGTTTTCCTTTTCCCAATTGTTTCTGAAACAATGGGTCCTTTTTTAGTCAGTTTACTCCCTCAGAGATTCTAACCTCTGAAACATCATGATTTGCATTCTTCTGTGGGTACATGACTTCTGTATGGAAAAAAGGGAGATGTGTGGATCTGATTGTCTGGTAAGCTGCGAGGAAACAGACGAGCCAGCAGTTAGGTACCTGGTCAAGGTGCGGGGATGGGCATGCGTGGGGCTCTGTGCTTCTAGCCTTTTCTGCACCAGGTTCTGTTCCGGGGGCATCAGAGGGGGTCTGTCTTGCTTCTATGTCTCTTACAATGCTGTTCTCATTAGCTGTGCAGATTGCTTTATTCTGATCCTTTGGTATCCATGCTCATGTTTTCATGGGGGACAAGAAAGGTCTCTAACTTACCTTTGTGCTGGAGCAGAGCGATGGCGCCTGGCCTTGGAGTCTGGCCTTCTCTCAGCCACCACCTTAGCCAGGCTGCTGTACACGCCTTTCTTCGCTTCTTTCCACCTGGGTTTTATCCCGTGCGAAATGAAGAAGTTGGACTCACAGGTGATCTCTGAGGTCCCTTCCAAGCTGACCCAGCCAGTCTCCCAGCATTGGCTGTTCTAATTGCTCCATAGAGGGGTAGGACAAGGAAGGAGGAGGTGGGTTCAGCAGACAATCGGGAAAAGGTTGTCAGATTCCCTCTCATCTCTTCTACCTCCCAAGGACCCTGAATCAATAGAGTGAAAAGGGACAAGAATGATCACCTATTGATCACCTACAATGTGTCAGGCACTGTCTAAGACTCCTTATGAACACTAGCTTATTTAATCTTCACATCTCTCTCTATGATGTACGAGGTGTCTTCTACCTCCACGACCCCCACTCACCTCCCCCCAATCCCCAGCCAGATGTGTCTATGTCCCTCAGGTCTCCCTTGAAATGTCACATCTGCAGTGCAGCCTTCCCTGACCCTGACACCAGCTTAGGTCTCCCTGCCTATGTTCTTGTGGTCCCCTGTGCTTTCCCTCCATTGCACATTGACACCAATGTAATTAAATAATTATCTGTATAATTAATATTTTCACGCTTACTCGACTGAAAAGGCACCTGCCTCCTTCAGGGCAGGGACCCTATACATCTTATTCATTACTATATTTCTAGAGCCTAGCACAGTGCTGGCAAAGTAGTTGAGAGTCAGTAGATATTTCCTGAACAAATGTAAGCATGAATGCATGAATGAATGAAAGGGTGGATGACTAGCAAAGCTGTATCCCAACCCAGAACTATCTGGCTCTTGGAGACCTGTCTGTAGAATTTCAGAACAGCGCTCCTTGTAAGCTTGAGCACTGGGGCCTGCTGCTATAAGCATCCTGTGGCTATCGACTCATTATTAGTAGGGCTTTGAGTTGTCTGTCCAGAATAGGGAATGAGAGCTGCACTGCTCTGGCCATTCTCTTTTACCCAGTGCTGCTTGTCCCCAAAGGTATCTATAAAACAGTTGGAGATGATGGATCCAGACTGGGGCTGTTGGTGGTGGTGTTTGGAAGCGGGTAGAGGGAGGCGATGAATTGAACCAAACCAGTTGTCCTTGTGGGCATTCAGCCCTGTGTCTTAATGACCATCAGCGCCACTTCTAACCCATCCTGCCAAGGGGCTGCAACAAGAATCTGCTCTGTCAGGGATCTGGGTCAGTGAGAATGAGTGGGTGAAGAGGAAGGAGGAAAAACCAAGACATGACAACCTTTTAGAGAAGCAGAAATAAAACGCTAATGTGGAAACTGCTGAAAATAGACTTGCTTGGGCTGTCAGGCTGCATGCAAATCCAATGCTAATTACATGGAAATTAATTACAAGTCCTAACTTCCATATGCCTTGATGTGACCCGTGGGGAAAAACCTGCTGCCGGTGTCTCCCCCACCCCGCAAAGGCGCGGCTGGAACACGGCTTTGATGTTGCCTCCTTCACACCCAACGCTGGGCTGCAGTGAGAAAAGCTGAGAGGAGGCTAAAAATACTAACAATAGAAATTTGATTTCTTCTTCCAGACAAAAAGCCCTGGCATCCACAGGAGGAAGAAGTGTTCAGGCAGCATGTGACTGGTTGGTATGAAATAAATAAATTGAGAAAATAGCACATAATTAACTCTGAGTGCATGTGGATGAGTGGGGCTGGGCAGTCTTCCTCTAATGGACCCTGCCAGGGGGGACATGAGCCAAAAGACGGTGTGACAAGCCCATTTATCAAGTCTATGGCCTCCCCTGCCCTGGCCCCAGGATGTGCTCCTCCTTGGCACTAGTTAGAAAAATTGAAAATAAGTCCCTTCTCACAATATCTGCCCCCTCTAGTCATTTTAAGATTCGCTTTAGGGGTGTGGATGCTGGGCAAATCCAATTAGAAAAACATCCTACTGACCTTCCGGGATCTCACTACCCAGGGCAGATCCCACAGGGCAGCCTTCCCGAGGGCTTCCTTATCTTTGGAATGTTCCTTCTCTTTGGAGCCGAGTATGTTCAGTAGACTGAACTGAAGGGCAGGCTGGGTTGTACCTGTACCACTGAGTTGGAAAAAGCTCTGGAGTTTATCTGAGAATGCTTCCTGGAGAGCAGTTTTAGGATTTTTTTTTTAAGGAGTTGTGGCATGAGGAGGTTCTGTGACAAGCAGAACAAAAGTTGGTGCATCTGAGAGCTAGTGACGAAGTGTGAGCTTCAAGGAGCAGGTTTTTAAAGCATGAATGAAAACCCTTCCCCGTGCAGTGTGCCTGGGTGCGGAAGCCCATGGAGGGTGGATCTGTCTCTTTTAGTTCTTCCTGCCCTACTGTCACCCTCCAGCGAGGCCCCCTGGGCTCCCTTTTCTCTTACAGGTTATTCTCCCACGTCGGTGACCCCTTCCTGGATGACCCCCTGCCCCGGGAGTACGTCCTCTACCTCCGCCCCACCGGCCCCTTAGCACAGAAGCTCTCCGACTTTTGGCAGCAGTCGAAGCAGATCTGCGGGAAGAACAAGGCGCACAACATCTTCCCCCACATCACCCTCTGCCAGTTCTTCATGGTGAGCTGCACCCCACCCTCCCACCCAGGGAGCCTGGCTCCCGGTGTCCCACCAGCCCCTTGTAAAAGCGGAGCCCCTCGGGAAGATGGCACAAACAGCTGTGGGTGCCTGGAGCTGGGTGGACCTTCAGGGGATCAGTGTGGTCCATGGCGAGGGTCTTACTCCAACTCCTCCTTCATATCTGCGGGGCCCAGGAGTACCCCAGGTCTGATGTAGCATCGTGATGACCAAGTGCTCCCGTGGGACCCTCTGTGAGTGGCACGCTGGTCTGGCAGCGGGAATAGATCCACTGATCTAGCTTCCCCCTTGTCCATTTCATCCCTCTCCCCTCCTGTGACAAGGAGAGAGCAGAGAGTGAGACACAGTGGGGAACAGAAGCGTAGTCTGTAGACAGGGAAAGCTATCTCAGCCTTGTGACACAATCCATACTTTTTTTTCCCCTTCGCTAGCTCTTTCCAGAGAAAGCAAAGATACACTTTATCTGCCATAGTCAGCTAGTCTATAATCCTGCCTGTCAGAAAGCTTAACGACCAAATTAAATCCCCCTCACCATATCACAAATGTAAATACATTTCAGCTACTTAGCTCTCCGTGTTGGTGGAGAAGAGTTGATTTATCCACGTATGTTCAAGACAAAGCAGAATGGTAGCATTTGAAGACAATTTTTTAAAAAATATTTTGCTTTGGTTTCTCCAGATGTATATTACCCCCGTCCTCTTAGATAAAAATATGTTCCTAACACCTTCTCTTTTACCATTCACTCTGAAAATTAAAGCGATTATCATTTCCTCTTAGTCATCCCAGGCACTTTCTCTAAAGCCTTCAGGGTTTTAGAGACACTCATTGTTTCTTCCAGTGCTCTCAGGAAGGTAGGAGGATGACGTCACAGCTCTCCGAGACTCATCCTTCCCAACTATCCTGAGGGTGGAAGTACAGTCAACTTTTGATCATCTAAGAGGACTAGAAACAGTACAGATGATGCAAAACAGTTGAAAACACCCAATGTATCCTGGGATGCTGTACTCTCTCTTTCCTGTCACATTCTTCCTTTTTTTTTTTTCTTTTCATGAGCAAGGGGAACTTTTTTTTCAACTGAGAAATAAGCATTATATATTTATAGTGTACAACATGATAGTTTACGTATACATTGTGGAGTGGCTAAATTAAGCTAATTAATTATATATATATACATTGGCTCACGTATTTATTTGTGGTCAGAATACTTGAAGTCTACCGTCTTAGTAATTTTTGAGCACGCACTGCATGGTTATTAACTGTAGTCACCATGTTGTTCAACAGCACTCCCTAATTTATTTATCCCTCCTAACTGCAATTTTGTGTCCTTTGATCAACATCTCCCCAATCCCGCCGACCCTGCTTTCTGCTCGGCCAGTCCTACTGCGTTTTGGCTGTGTTCACAGGGGCCACTTAAGGAGCAAGGAAGTGACAGGAGAGGTCTGCGTTCCCCAGTTTAATTTACCAGTTGAATAGTCTGTGTCCGGATAACTGGGAGTCCGCGGTTCTCCGTCTGCACAGACAGGAGTGACAGTTAAATAACTGCGTTATCAGCCTCCAGGCTGGGGTTGGGGAGGGGGGTGCCAGTGCTGAGTAGCAGCGGACGCCCATTTCTCCTTGTCGCTGAGCGAGGCCTGCCGGTTTTCCCCTGCCAGTGCGAGGACAGCAAGGTGGACGCCCTGGGGGAAGCCCTGCAGACCACGGTCAGTCGCTGGAAGTGCAAGTTTTCAGCCCCGCTGCCCCTGGAGCTCTATACCTCCTCCAACTTCATCGGCCTCTTCGTGAAGGAGGACAGCGCCGAGGTCCTCAAGAAGTTCGCAGCGGACTTTGCCGCGGAGGCTGCGTCCAAGACCGGTGAGCAGACGCCGCTACCGAGCCAGCCCCGGGCCCTGCGAATGGAAAAGAGCTGGGAGGGAGAGCGGACAGGAGGTGTTTGGAGAGGAACGAGGTGGAGTCAAGAGGTGGGGGGCCCTGCAGGAATGGCACACATGACAAAGGACACTGTCGCGCCCCACACCTCTCAGCTCCCTTGTGAAAATACTCAACTACGGTTCTGCTAGCCTCGCTCCCTAGGTTAGGCTTGCTCCCTACGCACCCAGACTGAAGGATGCAATGACTGTCCCCTTTGAGCTAGAATGTGTTCCTCTGCAGCGCCACCACCCCCTCCCAGTTCAGAATTAAAGAACTAAAGGAATTAATTAAGCATTAATTCCTTTCTACCTCCAGAACTCCCGTCCGTGCAGTTGTTTATCTGGTTCTTACTGTTCACTTCGTGGGGACCCCAAGCTTTTCTCAGGGGGCAGCATAGGACAGAGGGAAGAGTAGAACTACTTCGTATAAATTATCATAAAATCCACTGAGCCAACGCCCTTCGACTTTTCTGGAACCCATTTAGATGGGCCCCTAAGCCTCAAAAGTCCGTCCAAAAATGTAACCCCTACAAGATGTGCTTTTCATGGAGCTCTCAGTTCAAGCCAACTGAGATTCCCCATCCAAGGAATTAGCTTCCAGGGGTGCTCGAGGCAGGAGGCACGTGGAGGGGACAAGAGGGGGAAGTTGGCAGAGCTGTCCTGTCTGACTGCAGGGCCAGACAAGCTCGCTCAGCTCAAAGACAGCCCTTTACACGGGGACAAACAGACAACCCAGCAGGGGAGGGAGCCTCTGTTGGCTCACCCCGGAATGAAATCGCAATCAGCAGGTACTTACTGGGCCCCTAGTATGTGTTTATCCACAAGGAATGCAACCGAGAAGAGAATAGGAAGTGGCTTCTCCTGACCAGAGGCACAGCTGGGAAACCCGGTTCAGGCCCTGTGTATAGCTCTGAGAAGAGAGAGTCTATCACAGGTGGAGTGGTTTGATCTTCAGAGAAGGAAGAAAACGTGCCCTGAGAAGATGTTGCTCAGGAGAACAGAGGCGGGGCCTTCCAGGCAGCCGGGGGGCCGGGCACAGGCAGGAATGGGAGGCCGTGAGCAGTGGACCTGAGCGGGGGGGAGGGTGCCACACCTGAAGCCGAGTGTTGGATGCAAAGATCGGGGAGACCCAGAGCTTGCCCCCCACTCCCGTTTCATGGCAGGCCAGAGAGGGGAAAGGCCTGAGCAAAGCCACTCAATTTGCTCCTTAGCCTCCTGGCCTTTGGCCTGCACCTCACCTGCCATCGTTCCCTCTGCTATTGTCATCACTGGCTCAGGCCCTTGGCGCCGTGTTCCTCTGTGCCGGAGAAGTCCCCACTAGGGCTTCAGACTCCGGGAGAGTGTGAGCAGGGCTCGGCATCACTGCAGGGGCACAGTGAGATCTCTAGTCTCAAAGGGACCCCCGGGCCTGGACACCATTTCTGTCCCTTGGGAGGGGAACCTCCTTAGACTGCCCCCCATGCTCCTCTCCTCCCCCAGGGTGTAGTCTTCGGTTTCTGACTTCGGTGGAGCCTGACATTTCACAGGGGCTTAATATTTCAAAGAAATAGCATAACCGAGAGGCAAGTTATTTCCTGTTCTGATCCTGCCGTCTCAAGGAAATGGCTTTTTTCTTCATCCCACAGTAGTTATTGTCAGAACCACTAAATCCCCGCAAGAACCAAAACTAATGCCGTAGCCACAAAACCCAAATCCTTTGCAAATGAGAAAAGTGGGTCTCAGCCAAGACTGCGGCAGATATTCAGAGTATTCACTGAGTGACAAGTCGAGGCCCCAGCTTTCCACGTGGGAAGGGGATAAGACCAGTCCCTGTGTCACTAGAACTCGGCTGGCTTGGTTTCTCTGCCTTTGTGTGGCCCCCTGGTGGTGGTCCGGAGAACTGGTGACCCTGCCCAGCTTAGCTGGTCCGGCTCCTTATAAATCTGGCATGGAAAGCAAGCCATCCTGTCTTCACTCTAGAACTTATGCCTTGGTATTCTAGAGTTGCTGGCAGACTCAGATACCTTCAGCAAGTAGATCTAGTGTCCTCCTCTACTCTGGGTGACTTAAGCAGATTCATCCATGTGCATTCATTCATTTAAAAGGTACAGAAAACCTACGTAATATGCTGAGGGGGGATACAGTGTGAACAAGAGACGAACATCTTATCTCATGGAGCTTACACCAAAGAAATGCAATGCAGTGTAACAGGAACAGCACTTAAAACCAAAAGGTCTAACTTCTGGTTCTATCTTGGCCACTAATTTCTCCACATGACTTGCCCAAGCCCCTTCACTTCTCAAATTCCCTAATTTCTTTCTTTCTTTTTTTCTTTTTGGAGACAGAGTCTCACTCTGTTGTCCCCGCTAGAGTGCCGTGGTGTCAGCCTAGCTCACAGCAACCTCAAACTCCTGGGCTCAAGCGATCCTCCTGTCTCAGCCTCCCTAGTAGCTGGGACTACGGGCATGCGCCACCACGCCTGGCTAATTTTTAGTAGAGACGGGATGTTGCTCTTGCTCAGGCTGGTCTTGAATTCCTGACCTCAAACAATCTTCCACCTCGGCCTCCCAGAGTGCTAGGATCACAGGCCTGAGCCACCGCACCTGGCCCCTAATTTCTTCTAGTTGCATCTTTTTCATTATTCTAGCTTGGGCAGCAGATGATTCTTCGTCATTGAAAGTACAAAAGAGAAATAAAAGTCATTCCTTTATGTAGGTAGGTTTGTTTTGTTTTGTTCTGTTTTGTTTTTTGAGGTATCACAGAGTAACAGTCTATATACTTGAAGCCAGTGCTTCTCAACCCGTGGCAATTGCTCCCCAGGGACACGTGACAACACTGAAGTCATTTTCACAACTTGGAGGGTGCTACTGGCATCTAGTGGGTAGAGGCCAATTATGCTGCTAGACACCCTGTTATGCACACGACATCTCCCCACCTTCCCCCAACAAATAATTATTCAACCCACAATGCTGTTGAGAAACCCTGCTTTCAACTTTGAAAACATCCATCTTTCCTCTCTCATTTCTCCATCATGCTCACCCAGAAGCTAAGAGACTTGATTCCAGAATGAAGACAGCATAGCCTTGGGAGTCACACAGTTACAAAATGTACTTTGCTCTTTTTGTTTCGTTTTCCTTTTTATTTTTGTCTTTCTTTCTTCTTTTTTTAAAAACCATGGCTTGTTGAAAAAATGTACTTTGTATTTCGTTATCCCTTCAGGCCTCGGGTCCTCGTGTGAATGGTGGGGCTGGCAGTAATCAACTGGAGGGGCCGAGGGGGAGCCAGCCAAAAGGAGGTCCCCCAGCCAACCCAGAGCTCCTGCAGAAGAGCCATCTGCACGCGTGGCTCTTTGTCTCTTGAATGGTGGGGCCGACTCAGAGCCTCTTCCCCCTGCCACTTTGTTGTGCTGCTGTGAGGGAGACGAACAGCTTTTGTCTAACCCAGGGACTATCTTCTTTGTTGTCTGGGAGACAGAGTTTATCAGGGCTCCTTTCTATGTTCTTCCAGAAGTCTCCACCATCGCTATGATTGCCACCTTCTAATAAGAGACTTTCTTCTTCCTTTCCTCCAGAAGTACACGTGGAACCTCATAAGAAGCAGCTGCACGTGACCCTGGCTTACCACTTCCAAGCCAGCCACCTACCCACCCTGGAGAAACTAGCCCAGAACATTGACGTCAAGCTCGGGTGTGACTGGGTGGCAACTATATTTTCTCGGGATATCCGATTCGCTAACCATGAGGTAACGTCTCACTGCACTTCCTGGCGCTACCAGGTGTGGGGATGCGACCAGAATCAGCAGCTCGCTGCTGCAAGGAGATGGCCACCAAAGGGGACACATGGAACAAGCCACGGAGTCAGTTGGGCCAGGATTTTGTCCGGCCTCTGCCCAACATACAGGGAGTCTTTCAGCGTACATCTCTCCTCTCTGGCTCCCAAGTGGCTCATCTGGGGGGACGTCTCCAAGGCTGTCCCCCTGCCAACCTTATGGGAGTGACAAAGAAATGAAATGGCAGAATAGATAGAAAATATGTTGAAAAAATTTTTAATATTATACAAATTTCTGGTATTAGTAGAAGACATCATCCTGACCTTAGGTGAATTGAAGACCACATAAATAAATAAATAAATAAAACCCTGCAAAGACATAATTAACTGACACTTGCTGAGTATCTGTGCCATGCAAGGTATCACGGAACATACTAGAATTTTAAAATGTGGTCCTGTCCTCAAGGAGCTTTGAGTGCAGCAGGGGAGAGAGGACAGACACACATGAAAAGGAAGCTCAGGCCAACCATTGCGAGAGTTCGTGCCCTTCGCAGTGGAAGCCGAGTGGAGCAAATGAATCCTATCGCAGGCAGGAAGACTGGTGTGATCCTAGCATCCTTCTTTCGAGGGAATCGACACTGCTTTCCAGACAAGCATGTGCTGTCTCAGAAGAGCACCGTTGTCCTGTCTGTCCCGAAGGTAAAGCTGAGACACAAAGAGATCAAGTGGCTGGTCCAGACCTAAATAGCAATTTAAGACCAGAGCTGAAGCCAGAACTTAGGTATTCTGATCAATAATGATGGTAACATGTCTTAAAAAAGGCCACACAGATCGATTTACGAAAAAAAAAACAACAAACAAACAACTTTTCGTCCAACTTAACTACATTTATTAAGCAACATTTACATTTGTTTTTTTCAATAGCAGAAGAACGGATGTTTTTGTTAGTTTACATAGCTTGTTATCATCTCTTTCAGGCTTTTAGGCTTTTTTTAGAGATGAAAAATAGTTAGAACCTCGGGGTTAAGACCAGACAACCTCACCGTTATTTTGGAAGTGTGAGGAAGGGCCGATCCGTGAATCAAAGGTTCATTGCTAAGCATTGTGCCCTGGCAGTGTTAAGGACATGCAGTTTTGTCTCACTCTGCTGATGGGAATGTCATGTCCTCCTTTTGCACCATTTGGTGCCGATTTCTGTAAAGGCGCACTAAGCAGTCTGGGCCTGCTCTTACTTAAGAATTCTGACATCTCCTGCAATCACTTAGGTTGAGCCCTAAAGATAACAAGGGAGGTGTGGCCGGCTGGACTCCTTCTGATGGCAAAGAAAAAAGAAAGTCAAGGGTTGCATACAGATGGCCTCTGAGAAGTCACCTTTCTAAGAGAAGGAAGGTGGCAGTGGAATTTTACAAGGAATATCCTCTAATCAACAGTGCCCTCCAGTTAACTCGAAGGGTAATTGCTTTTCTGCCTGACCCACATTCTGCTCAATTGGCATGGAGGGAAGAGGCAGCGAGCACCCACACGAATTATTTTCTAAAAATAACTTGGCCTCTTTTATCTCTTATTTGTAAAAGCTCATTTATTGCAGCTCCTTCTGATAAAGCTCTCCTTGGCCCCTTTGGACGAGACCTCTCCCCCTGAGGTCTTTTGGTCTCACCTGAGCCCTTCTGCATATGGAAACCTCTTCTTGCCTGCCTTCTTCCCTGTGTCCCCAGGAGGCAGTTTTGAGAGATTGTTCCAATGAGGGGACAGATATCCAGAGAAGGAAAGTGGTTGTAGGCAAGGACACTCAGCAAGGCACAGTGATGCTTAGGAAAACTTCAAGTTCTCATCCCTCTGCTATTTAGATTCTCACTGGGTTTGGACTTGCAAATGCCTAGTTGTACTTGACATTGACTCTTCCCTGTTAGTGATTACACTGGGCCAAGCCAGTTCCATAGGCCAAGCAATAGAAATCCAGAGGAAGGACAGAGTTATACAAAAAGCATAAAGTTTGAAGTCCAACATACTCAGCTTCAAATCCTGGCTCCATCGCTTTAGGAGTGAGTGGTTAGATTCACTTTGACAACTTATAAACTCTCCAGCCAGTCCTTAGTTTTCTCATCTGTAAAATGGTGATGTTTTGCTAGACTGTTCTGAAGACTAAATAAGAGGATGTGTGAAAAGGCTGTAACCCAGCATGAAGTGGATGCAACAGAAATATTGTTGCAGCTAGTACTGTTCCTCAGAATGCAAAGGGCTTCAAAGGCAATGTCGTTCAGTGCCTATAACCATATAGGGCTGAGACTGCCCTTTAGTCATTAAACTTTAAGTTCAGATTCAGTGTAGTAAGGGAATAGACACATACCTGAGTTGCACTTGAGAATTCTTAAACGTACATGCCAAACATAAAAGAACGAGTATAATATAATATAAGCTAGCATGTGTCTATCTCTCATACTTAGGCTAAGTGTTTTTATCTAGTTTTGGTGAGTAAGGAATGAGAAGTGGGGACATTAGTCCCAGTTACAATTTCAAACTTATTACACTACCTAAATCCTTTTATTGTTCATTCATAAATCAAAGCCACTTATTGTCCAACTACTCTCTGTGTACGACATAGTCTCTCCAAACTTTGCTGTGCCTCAGTTTCCCTGAGGATACTCTACAGCTAGAATGCTCACCTCCGCTATGTGATAGGACAAAGGAGGAGTTCTCTGAAGTTGCATTGCGTTTCTCGAGGGTAAGGCAGTACTGGGCCAAAGGCACCATGAGCCAAGACCGTGCTCTGTTTCAGTATCTGAGGAACTGGGTGCCTCTCTCCACCTTGTTCCAGGAAAAAGAATGTTCCTTTTCATGGACCATCACACACCCAGCTTGGAGATTTACGAGATTTCACGTGACTTTTTTGGTCATTGTTGCACCCTTTAAGCTGTTTGAACAATCCTGCAGAAAACCTTCCTGGCTTGTTTGGAAAGGTGGTTAGCGTGCGTATGAGGCAGAGGGACAAGAGAAGTGAGGAGACGATCAGAGAACAGGAAGATCTTCCACTGAGAGATGCTGGAGTCAGAATTAGGGAAAGAAACAGGTGCCCTGATTTAGAAAAGGGAAATCAGAAATCCAGTGGTGCAAACAAATTCTGTGCATTATGGATTTTATCCTCTGAGAAGAATCACACTTTTGCTGGCTCCTTCCATTAGAGATGTCCAGAAGGACATTCTCTCTTCCCAGCACGTTCTGGTGTGTCACCTTGACACCAGCGAGCTGGGTAGCTCACAGGTGTACCCAGCACAGCGTCCAGGGTCAGGGCTACTGGAAGGAAGGAAATCAAATGGGGGATGGGGTGCCATGGTTCAGTAGGAATAATTATGCCCCTTCTGTATACAAGGCCTCCATCCTAAGGCCTTTTCTTAGATTGTCCAATTTAACTTTTACAGTCTAGGTATTATGTGACAGATGGGAAAACTGAGGCCAAACAAAGTTAAAAATATGAAAGTGGGATCCAGAACATTTAGCCTCCAACTAATGGCTTCGAAGCCTTAGAAAAAGCGATTCAAGCATTCTGCTCCTTGTGGTCCCCTGTGAAACAAATAGGATGTGAACTATCTTCCTTACTAAGGAGAGGTCGCCTGCTGCTCATAACAAAGAATAGTGAAATGAATGTCTTCTAAAGTACCTTCATGCCTGTACTTATGATGTTTATATAAACCAGGAAAGGGACACACACACACAAGTGGCATGGCCTGTGGTTGGCCCAAGGAGCCTTTTCTGAGCCCAAAGAAGGAACATGTTCTCTCTCTGTTCGCTGCTTAAAGCCGATTACATGCGGACATACCCACTGATGTCTATGAAAGACATATTTTTTCTTTCAGGGTCTTTGTTAAAGCTGTATAGGTTTAAAGAAAGGTCCTTGAAGGCAGGGGCCATGTCTTATTTAGATAGCTAAGCTACATAGAAAGGGGGATACTTCATTCCCCAACCCTTCCCATCGGAGGGACACTCTATCTGAGTCCTGATGGGAAGTAAAGCCATGCCTGAAGGAAAGTCTGGAACCATCCATGCCACCAGGCACACACCCACAGTACCCGGAAGAGAGAAGTGCTCGCTGCTCTCTTTGGAACCTCCTCAGAGCCAAATCTGGTCAGAGCCTGTGGGCCTCAGGGGCTCGTGCGCATGGCGCCATCTGGAGGTGTACAGCGTTAATGCAGAACACGCAGTCCCAGGCGTGGGGCTCACTCATCCCCTCTTCCTTTTGCAGACGTTACAGGTGATCTACCCCTACACCCCTCAGAACGATGACGAGCTGGAACTGGTCCCCGGGGACTTCATCTTCATGTCTCCAATGGAGCAGACCAGCACCAGTGAGGGCTGGATCTACGGCACGTCCTTAACCACCGGCTGCTCTGGGCTCCTGCCTGAGAATTACATCACCAAGGCCGACGAGTGCAGCACCTGGATATTCCACGGGTAAGCAGGCTCCAGGACTTTCGCCCACTGCTCTTTGGAGAGCATTGCTATGGCAAACTTTGAAGAGGTGGTGGAAATGGACTTGATCCTAGACACGCAGTGCCCCGATAACAGGAAATGGAGTCCAAGGGGAAGAAGGCTCTATGGCTTCCAGAATTCCCAGAAAGGAGCTGACTTGTGGCATGGAAAAAATGTGAAACGGGTTGCTCTGCCTCACTCTCCCCTCCCCCTTTTATGTGGCTCTCTGCCTGAGCTCCCGATGAGAGCCTAAACCGAGGCTGCTTGGCGGTCCGTTTCTTCTGGCTGTAGGGTGGTGTCATCTCAGTGCTATGTCTTCACTGCTTTGGGGCTTCTGTCCACCTTGTCCTGGGTCATTACTCAGACTCTGGGGTCTGACCGCCCCCCCCCACCAGAGCAGCTGGGCAGATTCCCACTATGCCAGCCAGACCAGCAGTGGAAGTGGCTTCGAGAGTTAGAGCCCTAACTGTACCCCTCACTTGCTAGGTGACCCTGAGCAGGTCCCCACATGCAGCACATGTGTGCCTAGACAACGGAGACCGTGTCTAAGCCAATGGCAATTGCCAGAACCCAGAAAGGGTACGTTGCTTCCCCAGTCTTCTTCAGGGCCATAACTTTCCACCCATCCCTTGTTATTGTTTTGTCCCCATCCCTTCCTTATGGTCCCATGTTCAGAGTGGCTTCTGTTGTCTGGCTAGCTTTGTCCCGATAGAGAAAATAGGGACAAAAGGCACCTTCTCTCTCTTAATCCAAGCAGCTCAAAGCCAGCGCTTCCCTGACACGCCCGGGCGTCTAGCCAGGGTGTGCTGCCGCTTTGTTTCTCGCACTCTTGTTTCTGCCATGTGGCAACAGGGCTGCGGATCAGAAGCCCTGAGCACCAGCTGCTTGGTGGCTCACATTGTTACTGCCACCATAAAAGAGAAGCAGAGAGGGGCGGTTTCAGCAAGTGTTTTGCCTGGAGGGAGAAAAGAAAAGAAGGTCCCCTGCCCTGGTGAACAACAAACAGACAAACCGCAAGCCCAAAGATGGGAAAGAATATTTTCTTCCTGAATAACCCCACCCACAATCCCTTCTGCTCCCCCCAACTCTCCTACCCCACCCCAGCCCATGAACATCCAGCATTTGGTGGCACAAAATTAGAGTGTCAAAGCTGCCTCATGTTCTCCAAACTTGGCCTTTTCAAAAATGTTTCTGAAGATCGAAATCCCTAAGTTGGGTTTCCAAAGTCACTATTTTATCCCTGTGAAAACAAATAAAGCAAAATATACACAAATAAACCAAGCACTAAAAGATTTGCCCAGTAAAGCACAGCTCCTGGATCTCTTTCTTAAAAGTAGGGCTACGTGTGGGAGAAGAATGTATACGAGCAGGGCTGCCAACCTGCTTAGGGTCACTTCATTCAAACCCACTCTGCCCTGAGTTACAGCTCAGGCTGAAGCACGGGTGAAGCTAAGTGACTTCAGTCCGTATGTCATTTCCTTTTTTTTCTGAGAAATTACCAGTGATGTTATTTCCCTGAAATTAAACCACCAGCTTCCACAGCCAGCCCCACAGGGAGTAGGGAAATACTAATGTTAGGCGTTAGGACATTGCAATTAAGAGTTTAAGTTTTGTTAGCTGGGTGTGGTAGCATGTACCTATAGTCCCAGCTACTCAAGAAGTTGAGGCAGGAGGATCGCTCGAGCCCAGGAGTTTGAGGTTGCTGTGAGCTATGATGATGCCACTGCTCTCTAGCCTGGGCAATAGAGCAAGATCCAGTCTCTTAAAAAAAAAAAAAAAAAAAGTTTTAAGTTTTGATTCTGATAGTCTTGGATTCAAATCTTAACTCTCCCACCTACCAGCTGTGTCACCTTGGCCCAGTTGTATCCCCCTCTGAACCTGTTTGCTTATCTAAAACGTGGAGCTAATACTCACACTTACCTTGCAAGGCCCAGCTTTACGTGGATCGGTCAGGTATATATCAGCACTGTCTATAAAGTAGCCTTTCACGTTACGATTGCTCTTTTTTTCCTAGCTCGTGTTTCCCAGTCCTTGCTTACGTGCTCATCAAAGCAAATGTCTCTTCCGCAAAAGCGATCCTATAAGCACTGCACTTTCCTGTTCAAACTCAGAGGTAGAAATAAGTCAAGGAGGTAGAACCCGGCTGCCCTGTAAGCCAGACCTTCTCCCAGTCCTCACCAAAGACAGACGCGAGGAGGCAGAGCCCTGGGGGAGCTCAGGCACGAGCCGGCTGGCTTGCTGGGAGGGTGCAGAGGGGATCCAAGCTCCACGCTGGGATTTGAGGTCAGCGACCTCTCTCGACCCTCCCTGCCCTGCGCTCCTCAGTTCTCTGAGTCCCTTCCGGGGGAATATTGTCTCGCCGCCTGTACTGGAGTGTCTTGCCTGGTTCTGAGCATCCCTAGGTGTGTGTCAGTTGATGAAGCCCCTTTGTGTCCTCTGAAGCAGAGTGAGCTGCCTGACCCCTCCGGCTTAACAGGCCTAGTGTGTCCTAATATGTCCTGGGGAGGAGCCAATGGTGCTTGAGAGAACATTCTAGGTGTCAGGCACGGCCTCCTCCCCTCACTGTTCTCAGTATAAAGCATCTGACTATTGTCTTACTGGGACTGACAGCCACCAGGCTGTCTCAGAGTGAGTCAGCTCCTTTGATTACAATGACAATTAGGACGGGAAGCAGGCTCCTTGCCACCGTGAGCTTAAAGATGGAGAGAAGGGACCCTATCTTTTATCTTCACAGCTGCAATAGAGCAGTGAAGAGACACGCACAGGCAAGATGTCAGCACGATTCCAGGTAGTCAGACACTGTGGGCCCCGAAGCTTTGATGAGTCAGGCAGTAAGACTGAATTTTCTTTAACTGTGTGATGTTTGGGAAGGTCTCGGTTTAAAATAAAGGAGAACAGCTGGTCTATTAGACTGTGCGAGTAGCATGAGATTTCCTTGGGCTACAGTTACTTAAATATTGCCATAGCGGGTTTCACTGGGCTACATGTCAGACATTCTGATGCAGCTTTGTTAAACTGTACGTTCCCCGAGTGTTGTTCCGCGGCAACTGAGTCACGATCCCCACCTGCAAGGAGGAGGGCCCAGGCACGAGCAGTTTTTAAAGGCCCCCTGGTGATTCTGATGTACTCAAGGGCTGAAAATCACTTTTTTAAAGTACGAGGCTTCAGAGACCATTGTTTATGAGTAGAATGAGCCCATCATTTATTTACAGTCAAAAAAGGGCCACTTTTGAGAGTGAAAGGGGTACTAAAATTGTATAATTTTTCCCAAAAAGTTTGCTAACAATTGTTTAGCTTTATCATGTTGTTGAATATAAAAAGTTCTTTTTAAAAATAAAATTATAGAGGGCTGGGTGTGGTGGCTCACGCCTGTAATCCTAGCACTCTGGGAGGCCGAGGCGGGTGGATTGTTCTAGGTCAGGAGTTCGAAACCAGCCTGAGCAAGAGCGAGACCCCATCTCTACTATAAATAGAAAGAAATTAATTGGCCAACTAATATATCTAGAAAAATTTAGCCGGGCATGGTGGCGCATGCCTGTAGTCCCAGCTACTCGGGAGGCTGAGGCAGCAGGATTGCTTGAGCCCAGGAGATTGAGGTTGCTGTGAGTTGGGCTATTGCCACGGCACTCACTCTAGCCTGGGCAACAGAGTGAGACTCTGTCTCAAAAAAAATAAAAAAAATAAAATGAAATAAAATTATAATAATGCTGTGTTTAAAATGAATAATTCGGAACAGGTGGTCAAGTTGCAGGGGCAACAGACACAAACCAGTACTGCACTGGGCAAACTGGGGTGTGGCTCCCCAAGTGGTGCAGAAGCAAGACATCCTCAACCTAACTGCTCCCCATGCCTCTGTCCAGGGATAAGGGCGAGATGTCTGCTGGATTTGCCGAACTACCGCATTTAAATGGCACTGTTTATTAGATGAAGCTTTGTGGAGGTCTCGCTATTCATGATAATTTAAACTTGGCATGCTTTGCCTGACTTCCTTTCCGGGAGACCTCTTTTGGGCTTCTGTAGTCACACTCAGAAATGAGAGTTCTTGGCTCACGGCTCTAAACATCTGGCGAGAACAGTCTCCTCTGAAATTATTCTGTCTTTAGTCGTCCTGTTGGAGGTGTTATTGAGGTGGGGGTAGGGTTGGGGGCCGGAGAGGGTAGGATAGAGAACAGTGGCTGTAAAGTTTCCTGGGCCGTTAGGACCTGTGAGTGAAGTGGTGGAAATGCCGAAAATCCCCATTCATTCTTCACTTCAGCTGGACATTACCATGGAAAATATTAAAGACAACAGGGATTGTTTATTTCTTTTGAACCAGAAAAATAGCTGCAAACAATGGTACATAATTGATACCTCATTATTCTTTAACATGCCTTTGGTGCCAACCATGCTTGCGGCATCCTAATAAGCACAAAATCATTGGGCCCCATCCCTGCCCAGAGGGGTGAATGCATCTGTCCATCTACCCCTGATTTATTTACTGCAAGACTTCAGTAGAAGACAAGATGTTCCTCCAGGAATAGAGCGTTCTGTTCAGCCCTCCCCACTGCTGCGCCACCCAGAGAGTGTCCCGTGCTGATCCCGTGCTCCTGTTGAGCCCTGGAAGTGCTGATGACTCCTGGGCAAAGCAGTTACCATCTTCCCTGTCTTCCATCGCAGTTCGTACTCAATCTTAAATACTTCATCGTCCAACTCTCTCACGTTTGGGGACGGAATCTTGGAGAGGCGGCAGTACGAGGACCAGGGACTGGGAGAGACGACGCCCCTGACCATCATCTGCCAGCCCATGCAGGTAGGCGGGTCATCAGGGCTACTTCCTCAACCATAATCAGGAGTCACTAAGAACCTCTTTATTAACCATGAGACATCTCCCTGGCTGTCCCCACAGGGTCTTTGATCTCTTGGAGAGAAAGTACGTGATACCCAGTAATTGAAAGCTAAGAAGGATCAGCTATGTGGTGCCGACAACCACCACCAGCATTTGAGTCCAGGCTAGTAGGGAAGGTTGTTGCCAAGAGAGAGGAGGGGAGATTTTATCTCTAAAGTAGGAATAATGCCCACAGTTGTATCTATTTGGTAAATTCATTGTGAAGATTAAAGAAAATAATAAAATAAGGCTCTTAGCCTAGTAACTGGCATATAGTGAGTGCTCAATATATGTTAGCCTGTCCAAGAAAGGTTGGAGACGGGAGGAGTGGGGCAGTAGCTATTGCATAGTACAGACAAAAGCAAATTGAAAGTTCAAGCATGTTGAGGGTCAAGAGAGTAGAGATCACTCTGGCTGGAGCCCAGGTTTTGAATCAGGCAACAGCAGGGAAAGCAATGGGAAAGACCCTGCCACCGTTCCACGTATTAACCATGTCAGGGCAACCAGAAGCAAGGTCAAGTGCTGGCCAACGTGAACCCGGCAGCACTGAGGAAGCTGGGAACAGCTGACTGCATCAGAAAGAAGGAAGGTAGAAACATGCAAAGGTTCCACCCAGCAGTTACAGAAACCAAAGTCACTTGGACATGCCGTTGACTAGACTTGCCTATCTTATCGTCCGGAGGTAGCGGTTGTCCGCCCCGAACATGCGTGTAGTCAGACAACTGCACCCACGCGGTGATGAGGATAGGCAAAACGGGGCCTCGCTGCAGGAGCAAGACCGTGAGAACCACGTGGTCTGAGCACCACTTTGGAGATGAGGCGGGGACATTTGTGATACTAGAAGTCCTCGCCTCCTGAGGAAGTTGAGGAAGCATCCCTTTTAGGGAGGAAGCATCCCTTTTGAGGAGGGAGCTGGCCCGCTAGGTGGCTACCTCTGCACTAGTGGCTGGTTGTGCCTCTGAGCTGTAACTTCAGCTGGCCTTCGTGTTTCCCTAATAGCCAAATGCTACTCCCACCAACGGCGGCAGCAGCATTTTCACAACCCTCCTTATTTTACAAAGCACCTGCAGTTTACCTCTTTTGAGCCTCAGAATGACTTGTCAGGTCTGTAGGATGAGTCTTACCATCCTCATTTTGCAGATGGGCCAACTTAAATGCAAGGCAGTTAAAAGGCTTGTCCAGGCCGGGCGCGGTGGCTCACGCCTGTAATCCTAGCACTCTGGGAGGCCGAGGCGGGCGGATTGCTCAAGGTCAGGAGTTCGAAACCAGCCTGAGCAAGAGCGAGACCCCGGCTCTACTAAAAATAGAAAGAAATTAATTGGCCAACTAATATATGTAGAAAAAATTAGCCGGGCATGGTGGCGCATGCCTGTAGTCCCAGCTACTCGGGAGGCTGAGGCAGGAGGATCGCTTGAGCCCAGGAGTTTGAGGTTGCTGTGAGCTAGGCTGATGCCACGGCACTCACTCTAGCCTGGGCAACAAAGACTCTGTCTCAAAAAAAAAAAAAAAAAGGCTTGTCCAAGTCATACCTCAGTGGAACTTGTGCTGGAGACCACCCGGCTCCAGCACGTGTCTACTTTACCACGTGTTTCCTCACTAACAGCCTTTCTTTCTCCCCAGCCTCTGAGGGTCAACAGCCAGCCTGGCCCTCAAAAGCGATGCCTCTTTGTGTGTCGGCACGGTGAGAGGATGGATGTCGTGTTTGGGAAGTACTGGCTGTCCCAGTGCTTTGATGCCAAAGGTGAGTCTTTGGCAGGCCTGCTCAGCATACTCTCAGGCATACTCATCGTGGCCTCTAGGGGGCGCAGCCAAGCTACATGTATCCAAATGAAGTCTTTCATGGTTTTGTGCTATGGAAAATGTCTGTCATCTGTAAGTCCTTACTGATTGTCTTTGAGTTTTAAGGAAGAGGTAAGGTTTCTTGTCACCATCCTATAAACTGGGAAACCAGGGACCAAAGATGGCAGATGTCTTGCCCTAGGTCATAAGGAAAGTCAACAGCAGAGACGTGCCCTGATTCCATGGCCAGGGTTCCCTGCGTTAAATCACCCCGGCTCATTAGGTTCCATTTTCTTTTGAGTGGCATTTTAAGATAGGGAGGTTCGCCTAATCGGAGAATCCCACCTGCTTTGGAGTGTCTGGTTATTACTCTCACTCAGAAACCATCCCTTGTCATTTTTGTCGGCAGAATGAGCAGTGAATTCCAAGTCACTCTCTGGAGGAAAGTGTCAGCCTTGATATTTTCCATCTGCTCCCACGAGTTCAGTTTGGTCTCTTTGGCCAAGTAGGAATGGGGGTGGAGAGAGTGTCAGGATCAGTAAGGGAAGCCCCAAGGAAACAAGAAACTCACGTGGCCTTTATCTGACCATTTCTTTCTCCAGGCCGCTATATACGCACCAACCTGAACATGCCTCATAGCTTACCTCAGCGGAGTGGTGGTTTCCGGGATTATGAGAAAGATGCTCCAATCACCGTCTTTGGATGCATGCAAGCAAGACTCGTGGGTGAGTGTCCGAGAATGACTGCACGGCATTTCCTGGCTGCTTCTTCAAAAGACTGGTGCCAGTGGGTATGCAGTACACTTCCTGGGGGCTTCTATAACTTCCCTACAGGTAATATATTTCTGCAAGTCAAAAGGGATTTATTATACAACCATTAGGTTTGGGACACTGGGCTCAGCCCTGGCTTGGATTACCAAAGTCAATGAGGGGTGGTCCCTATTGAGGAGAGTATGACCCAGCGGTGGGGGAGGTCAGGCTTGGGTTCCTTAGGTCACTGGTGTAGCAGATAGCTCAGCTTCTACTTCAAGACAGCAGCCTCTGCCACATGGCTGTAGGAAGAGGACAGGAGTCAGGAGCAGGGAGCCCTGGCGTGGCTGAATTTATAGAACCCAACTGATAATTTGAAGATGCCCAGTTCTTTGCAGGCTCATTCCATACCTGCCACGCAGAGGTGGTACCTTGTCCTGTCCAGTCATTTCACAGATATTTATTGACGATTTACTTTGTGCAAGATATTAGGATATGTGTTGGGGAACGAGGTGTGAGTCCCCACCTTCAAGAAAACAAATTTGTGCGTGGACAAGCATCATACAATGTTATACTAAATAACAGAGCCATGCACAGAGTATTATGGGAACACAGAAAAAAAATCTTAGAGGAGAAGCGAGGTAAGCTGGGAGCTGAAGTGGAAGTTACTGTCCGAGACGGAGCAGGAGGGATGAAAGGGCATCCTCAGCGGGAAGAACCACATAGACAAAGTCACAGAAGTAAGAAACAGCATCAAACGTCCACAGTGGAAATGAGCAGTCTTGTTTCTAGGGTATAAATTGTGAGGCAGGGCAAGAGATGAGGCTGGAAAGACGGACAAAGAGAAGTTCCCAGAGGACCTTGACCACCACACTGAGGTGTTGGGACTTTATCCTGTGGAGAGAAGAAGTGGATTCCATGAGGGAAGGGTTAAATTATCAGGTGTTGGGATTTATCTCTGGTGTCCAAGAATATAAGTTGAGATCTTGGTTAGCACAGAATAAAATTCAAACAAGTCCTAATTTTCATAATATAAACCTTCTCACCTCTGTCACAAACTTGCAGTCACAGCGTGGTCCTATGTTCCTGGGTCTCTCCTAGGTGGGTGTTTTACCGCTTTTAGCGCCAGGGAGAAGGACAGAACAAGACAAGCAGGGGTCTGTCACTTGTCCTCTTCCAGGGGAACACTGGTAAAGGGGTCTGTTAGAAACAAAGCTGAAACCACTGGCTGCACGTGAGCCCCAGCTAGGAACGAGGGGGTCCACGGAGTCTGCTTGGCCCCTCACGTTGAGTGCTGAGCTGAGCTGAGTAAATCTGTCGGACTGATTCTTCATCTGTTTTGTTTGCAGGTGAAGCCTTATTAGAGAGTCACACGGTTATTGATCACGTCTATTGTTCCCCGTCCCTACGCTGCGTTCAGACTGCACACAATATCTTGAAAGGTATAAGACTCTCAGGTTGACGAAGGTCGAATAGTCCATCCCTCTGTCTCTAGACAGCCCCACACCTAAATTATCTTGGAGTCATGGGACTTTAGCCAATTGAAAGGTTTCAATCTGGAATTTTTAGCAAGGATTCTTTCAAAAGATGATCTTGCACAAGTCACAAAATCATACTTAGGCAGCCTAAGCAAAATGAAAGGGATTCTACTATTAATAATAATGTTTTTCTTGAGAATTCAAAACTCTCTTGGGTGAATTGTAGGCTTGCAAAATATTTAGAGCTTGTGGAGCATGATCCTTTCTTTGCACTTAACACAGTCAAATAATTTTTGCCTTTTTAGATTTGTTGTTTGTTGTCTACAGTGCTAATGGTACTCTTTTAAGTCTCAAATCTTTTCTTTTTAACTAATTATCTTTAGAGACAGTCTCTCACTCTGTCACCCAGGCTGGAGTGCAGTGGCACAGTCATACCTCACTGCAGCCTCAAAATCCCGGGCTCAAGCGATCCTCCTGCCTCAGCCTCCCGAGTAGCTGGGACCACAGGAACGCGCCACCACGTCTGGCTAATTTTAAAAAAACATATTTTTTTTGGTAGCGACGTGGACCTCAATATATTGTCCAGGCTGGTCTTGAAATTGGGGCTTCAAGCAAACCCCAGCTCAGCCTCCCAGAGTGTTGGGATTATAGTCATGAGCCACCACACCCAGCCAAAAGTCTCAAATCTATTTTTGTTTTGGGTTTTTTTTTTTTACTAGGATCCCCAATGTCCAAGAAAGTCTCAAATCTTAACCATTTTTGTTTCTTTAGTTAATTAGAAAGACTTTAAAAGCATCATTGCTATAGATATTCCACTTTCTATGGAATGTGAGTACAGCTTTCTCTCTATTCTCATTTCACAGGAAGGAAAACTAACAGTAACAGAGTTAGACTGTTTACTTATACCACACAGTGAGTGAGGCAGAACTAGACAAGCCAACAAAGAACTTGGCACTGTATTTGAGTCTTCTATTCTTTAACCTTCAGTAAACCTTCTCCTCACTACCATAAGGCATTTATGTATTAAATTTGCACAGAAAAACTGGACAATAAAATATAGATAGCTAAGCAGGGATTATTTGCATGACAATAGAACACAGGATTTGTGCACTGGTACTTGTGGATATTCAACATTCGATTTTCTGACAGAGAAAATGAATAATATACATGATATTCAAATACGATGTAAGCCGTTGTTATGTAGTGGATGGTAAGAGATAAATCTGAAGTTTCTTGGTAAGACAATTATAGAATTTACTTTAAAAAGAGGAATGTAATATTCACAGAAGTGAGTAAATTATGTGGATAATCACTTGTGGGTTTCTTTTTCCTTAAATCAGATACCACATAAAGTCAACATACATCCTGGGGGTATAGCAAGAATATTAAACTCATGTGTTTGTAACACAAAACAATTAAAAACCCTTGTCCAAACCCACATGCTTCTACTTTCCTGTAGCTGTATATAGCAGCCAGTAGGAAAGAGAACAGCTGATTAATCGGCATTTTTGTAACCCTTTGGCCTATAATTTATTTTTATTATAGCAGCACTTCCTTCATCTTCATTTTACTTTACCTCTAAGGTTTACAACAAGACAATCACTTGAAGATCCGTGTAGAGCCTGGCTTATTTGAGTGGACGAAATGGGTTGCCGGGAACACGTTACCTGCGTGGATACCTCCGTCCGAGTTAGCTGCAGCCAACCTGAGTGTTGATACAACCTACAGGTAACCCTTGGAAACCGCTACGTCCTGAGGCCAGTGTGGAAATACTTTCAACACCATCACCAGGCCAAGTTCAGGAAGGAGATGAAGGGACAGACACCAGCTATGGGCAGTTGTCCATGTTGGTGGAAATCAAGCTATGTAATTTGGGAAACCAAAACTGGAGAAAATCCAGCATTCCCATGTATTTGGCATTAATGTGAATTAGATAACCAACCCCCAACCCACTGTGTTGGATTTTCCTGGCTTTTACTATATCCAGTTCAGTGTAATAATAAAACCATTTTATCTTCCAAGAATAAGCACCTGCTAAGGATAATGCAATTGAGAAGCTTGCCAGGAGATGAGGAAGATGACAATGTCTTGCTTTGGATTTCCACTTTTGATTTCTTAAAGCAATTTTAATTCTCTTTATTGTCTTCATTTATTATTGCTATAACCCTAAAATGCAGGCAAGCCGTTTTTATATAGGATAGAGTTCAAGTGGCTTGCCCAAAGTTATACATACATTGAGTGACCACACATCATAATAATAATGGCTAACTTTTATTGGTCACTTTCTGAATGTTCTGCGTGTCAAGCATGGTATTAATATAATGTGCTTTGCAGTGGTCTCCTTCCTATTCCTTTGCTTTTTCAATTAGACCCACCTGTCTGTGCTGAGATTTTAAAAAGTGGTGGTAGATTGCTCACAGGTGAATAATCCACAGGTATGCATAATTAAGAATTGTCCACTAATAATATAATTATACTAGCTATCAAAACTCCGCTCAGGCACTTGTAAAATCTCTTTGAGGAGGAACAGATAGTCACAACTATTATAGTGGGGAATTAAGTTCATATTTCTTAGGGCAGAATTTAGAACAAGTGGCCAATATAAGCAGAACTGACTTCCTTGTGATGCTGTTGACCTTTTATTTCACATATCTACCCAAACCGCATATGAAGCTGCATGCATTTCTGACTAAGGTAGGAGAGAATATCTTTTTTTCCATGCTCATTTTTTTGCTCTGCAAATAAGACCTCAGATGACCCCACTAATTCATATTGTGTGTTATTTTTTTCTTATCTTAAAGGAATTAGCATTCCTCAAAAATAAAATTAAATGAATCAAAAAGATCCCCTACTAAAACATGTCACATTTTGTTCTGTCCCTTCTATGGCCACGATTTTTCTGTTCTTTATGGGGAAAATAGCAATAAATTGTCCCCATGCCGACAGACATCATCCTTCTGGCCCGGATAGAGTGGGAGTTGCTGCCAACATCAATAAAGTGACTTTCATCACTTAACACCAGCCCCACCCAGGCCAACTTGGGCCAACTGTGTCTGTAGCTCCCCGCTTAGGTGCGTTCTGCACTGCTTCCCAGGCTGACTTACAAAGGTCTCCAGATGATTCCAGCCAAGCCTTGCAGTGTGCACAGACTCACACCCACCAGCAGTGCAAGCAGAAAGCTACATGCTGAGCCTGGACGTCAGGACCCAGGCCTTAGTCCAGATTTTCGTTTCCTTTCCAGCAAATCAACCATTAACTATGCAATATTTGGTGAGGGATTTGGGGGAGGAGATGAAGCCTCTAATTCTATAAATTAACTGAGAAAGCCAAAGTTGAAGCATGTGAGAGGGACAGCCCTAGAGTTTAACTCCCTATGAAATTAATGATGCCAGATGAACAGGGCTTTTGAAGCAAGTAAGTGGCGCCCAAAGGATTGAAGACACGTGGTGCCAGGCAGAAGGGCAAGCCCTGAGAGGTAGGGTAGTGTGAGTCAGGCAAACCCTGCTTAAAAAGCCTTGCGGCAGGGGTGGACAGAGAACAGGACAGAGGCGGGACAGGAAGCCGAGTTAGGGAAACTAACCAGCCTGGTGACTAATACGTAAGCATCACCCACAGCAAGACCAGCCTAAGGTCTTGAAGAGTCTTCAGCCGGGGGTGAAGAGCAGCCCCAGTCTTGGGGAGCTGGGCCAGAAGGAGCAAGATAGAAAAAGCAAAATACAGACCAACTGGGCAAGGCTTCAGAATAGGGCCCTGACTGGGCAGAGAGGGGGCCGGGCGGGGGGCATGGAACTGGAACAGTAGAGGGAGAATGAATCAGACTTTGGTGTGGAGCTCAAGGCAGAGGCCTGAGTGACAGTCTGGCCCGAAGCAGGTTGGGGAGTAGAGAGTGCACCAGGGAGGACACTGTTCTGGGGGTGCCACCTGAGAACCCAGGACACTGGCTTCCAGGTCTGGCGGGCACTGGGAAGCCCACCTGACTCTGAGGGCAGTACAAGGGCCCTGTGGGTTGGCTAGCAGCATGACAAGTCCTGCTAATGGTGGCAGGAAAGCTTTGACTCTGCCTCATGCCCACCAGGGCCAGTCAGACACTGGAGCTATTCAGAGGTTCAACTTCAAGGTGCTGGGAGAAGCCAAAGGCAAGAACCGATCAGCGGGAACCAGATCCCAGCAACTATCCCATTCTTCACCCACATAAATCTCACGCACTGCAGTGACTCCATGGGCCATACAGAGTGGCCTTTTGTCACTGAGCCTGGGAGCCTCCTGGGAGACCAGGTGACACAGTGGTGATGGAGCTGGATGAGAGGTGGGGATGGCGAGAGAAGGCAGGGTAAAGAGTTTGCCCCAGAACAGCGAGGTACAGCCCTGACAAGTGGTGGCCCACGTCCCTACCCACCCCCCAGGGTGCTGTGGGATTCACAAGGTTGTTTCCTGGGAGAAACGTGCATGCAGAGAGAACGTCAGAGAAGGGCAAGTTTCTCCTTCAAACGGAACCGCATCCTCCCTGTCTGGGCAGTAGGCCCACGTGCGCAGAAGGGCAGCCTTAACAAGGACACGGGCCGGAGCTGTCCAGGGTGCGGGATAAGCTCACAGGTCAGATCTCAGACCCAGGCTCAGTTCCAGGCGCCGCGAGTTGCTCGTGGTGGGAGCGCGGGCAAGTGAGCTGCAGCCTTTCGGAGCTTCCGTTCCGTCATCCATAAACTTGGGATTTGTGGAAGGGCCGCGGGGAGGATTATAGTGAAAGAATGCAGGTAGGACACTTGCACAGAGCCTGATACATGGCAACCTCTCGGTAAATATTTTAGCACTGATAGTAGCAATACTAATGTGTTATGATCAAGATGCCATGTGAATTCTCTGTAAGAACTCGCTGCCCACTCGGCCGCGCACTAAACGCACAGAAATGAAAGACGAAATAAGAAAGCAGAAAAGTGAAACGACGTAGTTGTAATTAAAAAAAAACAGGAGAGGCCGGGCACGGTGGCTCACGCCAGTAATCCTAGCACTCTGGGAGGCCGAGGCGGGCGGATTGCTCGAGGTCAGGAGTTGGAGACCAGCCTGAGCAAGAGCGAGACCCCGTCTCTACTATAAATAGAAAGAAATTAATTGGCCAACTAATATATATAGAAAAAACTAGCCAGGCATGGTGGCGCAGCCTGTAATCCCAGCTACTTGGGAGGCTGAGGCAGGAGGATCCCTTGAGCCCAGGAGATTGAGGTTGCTGTGAGCTAGGCTGACGCCACGGCACTCACTCTAGCCTGGGCAACAAAGCGAGACTCTGTCTCAAAGAAAAAAAAACAAAAAACAAAAAAACAAAACAGGAGAAACATCTCGTGGACCAGAAACCACAAAGAAACTAAATGGTGAAAGAGGGTAGGAGCAGGCTGGGCCCCACGAGCATTGGTGACCGGGTTTGAAGACATGCAGGGTCACCAGGACGGGAGGCCCCACTTTGATCGTCCTCTTAAGTGCCCTTGTAGATTGTGTCATAATTATCGTTTACATCAGTAGCTTACTCAGCCCTTCCACATGCAGACAGCTCCTCAAGCACAGAAACTGGGCCCTCCATCTTATGTCCCCTGGGATTCTCCTAGTGCCAGGTGTATTTGTGTTCAAAATAAGAGAGAAAGAAAAGGAAAAGACTGGTGAAAATTGTCTGGACGTGGGGGCTCACGCCTGTAATCCTAGCACTCTGGGAGGCAGAGGCAGGGGGATCCCTTAAGGTCAGGAGTTTGAGACCAGCCTGAGTAAGAGGGAGACCCCGGCTCTATTGAAAAAAAATTTTTTTTAAAAAGACTCGTGAAAATTGTGTAAGCTCACAAATCAGATGGACTTAATGTCTGTTTTTAAAACCTATGCTCAGCCGGGCGTGGTGGCTCACCCCTGTAATCCTAGCACTCTGGGAGGCCGAGGTGAGTGGATCACTCAAGGTCAGGAATTCGAGACCAGCCTGAGCAAGAGTGAGACCCCCATCTCTACTAAAAATAGAAAGAAATTAATTGGCCAACTAAAAATATATAGAAAAAATTAGCCAGGCATGGTGGCGCATGCCTGTAATCCCAGCTACTTGGGAGGCTGAGGCAAGAGGATTGCTCGAGCCCAGGAGTTTGAGGTTGCTATGAGCTAGGCTGGTGCCACGGCACTCTAGCCTGGGCAACACAGTGAGACTATGTCTCAAGAAAAACCCAAAACTATCCTTGCATTTAGTGTGTAAGGCTCCTAATGAGAGACCTAGGAAATCCCTGCTGATCTAAGTAGGTAGAGAGGTCTAATCTCTGCTTTGCTTTCTCTTAGCTATGTGACTAGGACTGCCAATAAACTGCTATACGTTATCCTGTGGGTGAAACATGCACTGAATGTCTCATTTTTCAGCTAGACACTGTGACGCCCTACATACAGGCTTTGTTTCTGTATACGTCAATATAGTATTAACAGATATGTTAGAACTTTAGAAAGGTCTTGAAATAAATGTTTAGAGTGATATCCTTCTTTTCTCTAGAGCAAAATATTTTCATTTCCTTTGTTCATTTTTCTATTACAGACCTCACATTCCAGTCAGCAAATTAGTGGTTTCGGAATCCTATGACACTTATATCAGTAGAAGTTTCCAAGTAACAAAAGAAATAATAAGTGAATGTAAAAGTAAAGGTAGGTGGTAGTATCTTGGACTCCATGTTTAACTATGTGATCATTTTTCCATCATGCTTAATAAGCTATTCAAGATGTTTCAATTTGCTTTGGCAAACTTGCTTAATAGGAAAGAAATATATTTCCAGACTCTCTTCCGGATACTTTCACATTGAATTTGTAATATTCTCTGAGTACCTAAAATGGTAGATATTTCAGAAGAATACACCAGACTTAGGCATTGTATTTAATAACATAGAGTCTGCATTACAGCTATTCATTGGCACCCTATGAAGGAGGTTTCCTCTTTCAATTTCCAAAAGTTCTCCAGCATACCACTGTCTTTCCTATAATTAATGCAGGAGCACAGACACCCACACACAAACACATCTACACCAACACACCTACACAAATACACCTACTGTCCCTGCTATCACCAACGAAGAGCAGTGTTCTATACAGCTCAAGTCTTTTTGCTATTGAATTTCCTAAACCTTGAGCTCAAATATTTAATGATATGTATGACTGTAAGTTTTTTAGTGAAAAAGGCAGATTGCATAAGAGTATGCACGTTCTCAATATCCTTTTTTTTAAAGTTAAAATATTTAAATTCATAGGGCAAAGACGGAATTATACACATGACCGTATTAACAGTAGATAGCCGTGGGCAACATAATTATGGATAATTCCCACCGTCCAATTATCACTCTTAAGACACTCACGACCATAAAGGTACACAGCATGTTCTGTCGACGAGAAAGTTTCAAATTTTCACAATTCAACAGTGGCAACATTCAAACTTATATTAGAAGGGGTGGCACAGAGAGCCCTGTGAACATAGAATAGGTCTGATTTCGATTGTGGTGGTGGTCACACAAATCTACACATGATAGAATTGCATAGAACTGCATACTCACATGTACACAAAGGAGTGCTTGTACATCTGTTGAAATCCGAATAAGCTGTGTGTTTTGTACAGTGTCCGTTCCCTAGGTTTGATAATATGTCATAGTTATGCAAAATGTTACCACGGGGGAGGGGGGGTGCTGGGTGAAGGGAGCATGCCACCTCCCTGGTGTGTGTGTGTAACCTCACATAAATTTATAATTATTTTAAGATAAAAAGCTTTTTTAAACAAACATTAGGCTGCCTTAACAATAACAAAGCATTTTCAAAATACTGTTTGGGCAAGTTGTCTTCTTGTGTATGTTCGCCCGTCTCCACAGCACTTAACTTCCAGTATTTATTTCATATGTCTTTATCGAAACGATCTTCCCATTCCTTGCTTTCCTCCCCCGCCAGGAAATAACATTCTGATTGTGGCCCACGCATCTTCCCTTGAGGCATGTACCTGCCAGCTTCAGGGCCTGTCACCTCAGAACTCCAAGGACTTTGTACAAATGGTCCGAAAGGTAATTCATTCTTGCATTTATGGGGCCCGTGGTGCCTAGTAGTTTTATAACAGTTCAATGACTGGCTGGTAGCTAAGTTCTTTGAAGTACGTGTTTATGCTGAGCTGGGAAGATTCATTTATTGATTCACTCAATCAAAATGTATTGAGTGGTACTCTGTGTAAGGCACCTTTATTAGACCTTATATAACAGACAAAAATGTTTTAGAGCTAGTTCCAGCTTCTAAGAGCTAAAATTTAGGGAGCAGCTAAGAATTATAAGCAAATTGCCTGAATTTCCCTGAGGGACCTTGTATTGGATAAACAGAGGTGAGTCCAAAACAGAGCCATCTGAAGGATTAGCCCGAGGTAGGTAGGTAGGCAGCCCAAGGATTGTAGCAGTTTAAAATGGTCAGGCTGAAAGGCAAAGCCAGGAACAAGGGAGCAAGACGGAAAACCCTTGAGGCTGACCTACACATCTGGACTCTTCGGTTCGTGCCTGTTGACGCTTTCTGGTCAGCTGCCGCCCACACACTTCCCTTCAGGCAAGTTAGGTACTTCCTTTCTCTGTCACCAGGGAATCTGGTTCAAACTCAATTGCAATTTTTTTCCTCATTATTAAAAAGCTTATTTATTCATCTGCCCATCCCATTAGCCTGGAAGCTGCCGGAGGGCAGAGATTTTTGTCTTGTTTATGGATGCAGCTCTGGACACACACACACAAATGCGTTTTGAAATTGCCATGACTACTGAAGTTAGAGAGGGCACAGCTTCTACTTTGAATGTTACAGATCCACATGGGGGAAAAAAAAAGCAAGGTTAAAACATGCAAAGTTTTAAAAGTTGAATAATTTTTCCCAGTGTGTCCACATATAATTTTAGAAACCTTTGAGCTGCCCTTTTTTTTTTTTTTTTTTTAAATTGAGACAGAGTCTGGCTCTGTTGCCCAGGCTAGAGTGCCGTGGCGTCAGCCTAGCTCACAGCAACCTCCAACTCCTGGGCCCAAGCAATCCACCTGCCTCAGCCTCCCGAGTAGCTGGTACTACAGGCATGTGCCACCATGCCCGGCTAATTTTTCTATTTTTAGGAAAGATGGGGTTTTGCTCTTGCTTGGTAGGCTGGTCTCAAACTACTGAGCTCAAGTGATCCTCCCGCCTCAGCCTCCCAGAGTGCTAGGATTATAGATGTGAGCCACCACGCCTGGCCTGAGCTACCTTTTTAACTTGACTTACAATTAGGAATTAGGAATTACCTCTTGACACCCTCACATTATATGTGTTTTGTTTTGTTTTGTTTTGGTTTTCATTTTCTTTTCTCCTACCCTATTAAGCGACAAAATTATAAAGAATTAATTGCACTAGGGGAGCTCGTCATTTAATCCATCCGTCTGATGAATGCTCTTGCAATGTAAACACTCCTCCCTCTAATATATCAGTTTTATCCATTTCATTTTTTTAATTGATCATTGAAGGGAACGCATTTCTACACATCCCCTGTTCATTCCTGACTATTATTCTTTAGGACCACCTGAATATCTTTGTGTCTAGGCGAAAGTTAAAGAATTGAACCTCATCTTCTGTCTCCCCTTTCTTTACTACTCTTAACTCAGATCCCATACCTGGGATTTTGTTCCTGTGAAGAATTAGGAGAGACGGGAATATGGCAGCTGACAGATCCGCCCATCCTGCCCCTGACCCATGGACCAACTGGGGGCTTCAACTGGAGAGAGACCTTGCTCCAAGAATGAACCACAGGGGTGAATGAGAAGAAAAGGGCTTATGGAGATGTGTCTTTTTGTTGTGTTCAGTAACAGTGGGAAAATCTCCACCACACTCCAACCGGACAGCTCGGAATAATTTAGCATATTTCCTTTCATGCTTAAAGTGCTTATGATGAGACCGTAAATGAGAAAAAGACTTGATTCAGAAGGAAAAAAAAATTGTTCTCTCTGGACTCTTGCCTAGCTAACAAGGCTTTGGAGAATCGTCTTCCTGAATCCAGGCACCTGCTGCAGCAGAGGACCTTTCTGCCTTCCACCTATGCACGGCTGAGAAGTCTCACTCCTCCCAAAGGGAGCGGCTGGCCCACTGCAAGGGCTGCAAGAGGAAAGTGTATGCACAGAATCCCACCTGGGGAGCACTGAGCTGCCAGTTTGGGGATGGAATTTTCTTTTGAACTCCATTTTCCAGTTAGGCAGAGCCAAGCTGAGGAATCCTTTAAAGGTTATCAGAATACATGCCCTGAAGAGAGTTGTTCTTAAGTTAAACATCAAATTCCACCCTCAGTCGACCCCGTACACCAGTGTCACTGGCTCAAGACACCTGCTTGAGGATGCTAACATTTGCGTTGGTACGGCCACATTTTCTCTACAGCGGCTGGCCCTTCTTGCTACAGCCTGTCCCCTTTGCTTCTGTCTGTGAAATGGGGAGACAAAGCACTTTTGGATACTCAGGAGGAAGATATGATAAAGGTGTGAAGTATTCAATCATAGACGCAGAGAACTTGCAAAACATAAAGTGACTTGGAATTACCCGTATTGTAGCCTAATGAGCCACTGCACTTCTAAATCACCATTATTTGTTTGCCTTTGCCCCTAGACTCTAGACTACGTTATCTAGTTAAGGATTTTGACCTTTTGAAGGGATGTATATTAGATACATTACTTGAGTTAGCAAGAAGCTCATTCTGTGCAATATGGACATCTTTACAAACCATTTCAAGGGGCAGTTTGTTGGACACTTACAGTACCTGTCAAACACAACAGAACATCCACAAATGCATCAGTTATACCAGGGATGTATAATGAAGTCAGGGAACTAATTTAAATGCTGACAGTCACGACTGCACTGCTACTTGTGCTATTGGTTTTTGTTTGTTTTTCTATGGTAATTTAAAATATATAGGTAGGGCTATTTAGAACATTTGAAAAGCCACATCCTGTGGTTTCTCAATACACCTACTTCCTGCATTTAGAGGGAGTTTATTTAAAAGAAAAATAAATGACAATCAAACCAATACAGCAGTTATCAACGTCCATTTAATTGTGTGACTGGTAGACTATTAATGGCCACAGACAAAGGTCTGGTATGGTATAGTTCACTCTGTAGAATATGTGTGCAAAGTGAAATCACAGCCATTTAGAGAGAACATTAGTTAGTGTAAAACAGATCTATATATGTTGTAGCAACATGGAATAAATTTCAAAACCCAGATGCATAAAACATGGTATATAAAAATAGATCTATGCTTGTTTTTAAAACTGGAATTTGATGGGCCCCTGGACAGAAGAGGAAGTGAAAAGATGCTGGCTGTATATGTTAATCAGCAAAAGGAGTATGGATGTATTTTTTTAAGTCACTTAGAGGGAAATATGTCATGAATTTTACATTTTAAGACACAGATCATGGTTTCTTTTAACATTGCACAAACAAGTGACCCAGCTTCTGGGTATGGAAATACCCCTGTGCTGACATGTTTATATAAATGTTTTAGCTTTAAAGTGTTTTTTTTGGGGGGGAAGATTACTCCCATTAAAGATCTTAAGTGAAAAGTCACGTTACAGCTAATGTAATGTCGATACCATTCATTCTTCTGGTATTTGAAATGAAGCAAATCCACTGTTTAATTAGATCTATTATCTTTATTAGGTACATAGCAAATTTTTGTGGGCTCTGAGTGCTTGGAATAATGCTTGAACACCTCACATCAGATCTCCTTGAAACTGTAGCCGTGTGTTCTTGGCAGCATCAGTACTTGTAGAAAATACAGCCCAGAACTGGCTCTCGGCTCCTTCTCTCGCAGTTGTCTTAGTGCTGTGATGATCTGATAAATCGGTTTCACTGAGCTACAATTCCTTGTCCTTAGTCCAATATGGACACGACCTTAGGCAATGGTCTATGTGAGCAAAAGGAGGCAGAGATCTGAAATAATATTCTGAATAATTAAGTGCAGGAAAGAGTTTATGCCTAGGCTTTAATTATCCAAATTACTTATCAAAATGGCCTGAATGATCAGAATTCCCATTAAATTCTCATGGCACATTTACCTATTTAAGAAACTAAACTTGGACTGCAACTGAGAAATGTTTTGGAAATCACATTGAATCCATGTATAACAGAGGAAACAGACAACTCTGTTACCCGATTTTATATCATCCAAACGTACTAGGTTGATATTACAACCTGAAGTTGAGGCTGGTTTTTTTTTTTTTTTTATCTAAGCCAATGCTTATTAGAATAAATGATGTGTGGGGAGTGGAGAGAGAAGGAAGGACAAGAAAGGAAGGGAATGCCAGTTTAGAATCAAATGGTTTCTGGTATCGAGAAATTTTTTTTTTTTTAATGTAGAAAATTATCTGAAATAAACTAGGTGACATGAAATTACCTGGAGGATTTAATCTGGGATTGAAAGTCTGGAACAGTTTCCTACTTCAAAAGTATGCCACATTGATCTGCTAATGCTCCAGTATTATTATTCATAGATAGGACTTTGCTTTCCGTGATTTTAAAATGCCACATCCATTCCTCCTGGTCCTCCGTGGACTAGAATAATTGGCACATTTTAATGCATAAGCTGGGGGTTTCAGTTTCCCAGGCTCTCTTCACCATTGCTGCGTTGGTAGCTAGGAGCTTACTGCTTCACCCCAGTATGGAGTTCAGATTACAGTGTTCCCTGTCACATTCAGATTTTAGAATCTGAATGGCTGATTAAATGGCCATGTGATGGCTGAAAGAGGGGGTATTTTTCACCCTGTAGTGAAAGGCTTGGAGGAGTTTCTCCTTTTTATTTTAATTATACTTTAACCAAAGAATTATTTTAAAGTAAGCTTATATTTGAAAGATGATTTTGCAAAAAAATAAAATAAAAATAAAAACTATATCTTCTGGAATGATGTCAGTTTGTGATGATCATTGTTGATGACTTTCTTGTTAGTGGTATTTGGAGTGCATATAGATTGTCTTCCCATTGTGCCAACATTACCATAAATGTGTCTTTTCCACTCAACTAGCTGTATTCGTATTAAAATGAAGTCTCTTATTTCAATTACTTGATGTCACTGGGAAAATCGAACAGCTACAGTAAGAGAAGTTCCTATCTTGTGGCCTTTGTGGAAAGGCTTCCCTGAGTGGGAAAACGAAGGCATTCCCCCGTAACCCAGGCACTCTGCAACCGCAGTGTTTAATTTAAAAGCAGTGATGAATTGCTCTTTTGAAATTACTCTAAGTAATGCAAGCGTTAGCATACAGATGAACCTCCGTTCCATTCTCACAGGCTTCCGCCAGTCAACTGTACCGAATCTGCACGAACTTAGATAATGAGGTGCAGGGTTATTTGCATTTAAATTGTAATCCAGCACACGTGTGAGAAAGAAGAGGCGCTAGTCTAACAAGGCTGCCTTGCGGGAGGGAGGAGTCTGGCAGAGGAGGAGGAGGAGGAGGGTGGGGAAAAGAGCAATTTAACATCTATTTAGGTTAATGTTCACTTTTCCAAAGGTGATGGGGGATATTTTGTTAGGTGATGGCAGAATGCTTTTCATTTTTAAACATAGGATTAAAATTGGATTCGCTTCTCTTTAATACTTCACCATATTGAATTTGCCTAGGAAAGCGATGAGCTATAATGAAAATTTGAGGGATGGGGGAATAAAAGATTATCTCTAATTGAAGAGGAAAACTTGACTTTTAAATATGTATAATATTAGGTATGGTGTATGAAGGTTTAAAAATATAGTGATGAGTAGTCAAACTTAATATACAATCAGTTCTCACAAATATGTTACACGGTACCACTTAGCTGCTATTACCCAAAAGTTGGGATTTTGGAGCTGTTCGACTGTTGGTGGACTCTGTACAGGATAGATACGGATAATGGGCAACGTATACTGCTTCTTTGATTGCCACGCAAGATGGGAACGCCATTGCAAGGCATTTTGGTTATGCAGAGACCATTCTAAACCTGCTATTTTGAAGAGGTTTATAAGATTTATAAGGCTATTGTATGAATTTTTTTTTCCTTTGTGATTCAGGTGTATTTATTTGACAAATGTTTGTAATTATGACAAAGAAAACCATACCTAACTGTATTGCCAAATTCCTTGTAAACTATCTGTGGCTTTTGTGCTTTTCTGGCTGAGAGCTCTCTCCTCTTGATACAGCTACGGCACCATTGTAATTAGTTCATTCCCTTTCAATAACATCTCGTTTAAATCGTTCATAGATGATTGAATAAAGAGAAACTGTGTTCTTAGTTGACCTGGAGCAATCTCATGTTAAATTCTGAGTGGTCTCTTTTTTTGTTGTTGTTTTGTTTTGGCTGTATCAGCATCAGAACTGAGTGGTCTCTCTTTTCTATCATGTTTTCAGATGTTACTTTGGTCATTATTATTTTGTAAACGCCCACTGAGAGTGTGATTCTGCTTCCAGAGGGTCCGAGGGGCGCCTGCTGCTGCTAGAATGGGGAGGATGCTCTGGGGGTCTCTGATCCCTCTGACCAGGTGTCAAGCCTCTGAAAACCCACCCATAAGAGGAAAAGCAAGCTCCAAAATGCTTCCACTGCCCTCTGCACAAACTGCAGGTGGCGCAAAATATCTTTCCTTCCACCTCTGAGGCCCCTATAACAAAAGACAGACTAACAAGAGAAAAGCATGCAAATTTATTCAGAGTTTACATGACGCAGGAGCCTTCATAAGGAAATGAAGACTTGGGAGAAAAAAAAGTTAAACCTGAATATTTTTATACAAAGTTTGATGAAGAATGGACAGTGTAGGGGTGAAGGGAAGACTTCCTTGCAGAATGTTCTCCGAAAAAACAATTCACAAAAGGCAGATTCATTGGAGGAATGGCGTACAATTTTACCTATTCCAATAGCGACTCAATTCAATAAGCCTCTTCATAGAAAGCCCAGGTGGTAGTTTTCCAGGTTTAAGATAATTGTTTCCCCTATAAGCAAGGGGTTTCTTGGAGAAGGTGCTGAGGAGGCAGTCCCCAAAAATTCACTCCCAGACTTAAGATAGCAAAGACACAGACAGTTGAGGATGGTATTTGTGCCTATGGTGCCTCCAATATCCCACAAATTTGTGGGGGGCCACCAGTCACAGACCAATTAATCTGTGACAGTGGGTGGGTCCTTCTAGGATTGGATTTTCCCGGGGCTAACCAAGCCACAAGGTTTGAGACCACAAAGCCCCATAGGGATGGGACCTTTTGAGACAGACTCCCCTGCGAGCTTGACACGTTGAGAATGAAGAGTGCACTGCTTACGTGTCCTCAGACTTCCAGTCTTTTCAGACTGGCCACCTGGCATCACCCCAAAAAATCACACACAGACCAAGAGAGAGTGTTCCCACTTGGTCACAAGTCATGCTCTCGATGACACAAGACAAGAGGAGACCTCACCAGGTTTTTATTGGGGGGGGGACCCACAGCAAAATTTGCCTTAATAGATGACCATGTAGTCAGAACCATAAAACCAACTAGCCTGCAGGGCTGGCATGAACAGTGGGCTTACAGGTGTCTTAGGCCCATGTTCTACCCTGTGGTTCCCTTCTTTATGACAGAATGATACAGAAAGACAAAGACGAATGAAAACAACCAAAAAAAGATTTTCTGAAAGGAAAGGCATCAAACATTAATATTCATACCAAAAACTATACCAGAGTCGCTACACCCAGAACTAGTCACACATACTCTTTTCTCCCATTAACCAAGATTTTGGAGAAGAAAAAGAAATCATGATTTTATTTCCTGTCTACTTGACCAGATTCCAGAGAGAGAAAGACTGGGAGTCCTGCTAGTAAGAAACTCTTACCCCGATGCTGGCAGGTCAGACTCCAGATTCCCTTGAGTGTGACTCCCAGAAGAGCAGAGCAGCTTTGGTGACCCAGCTCATGACCCCAAAACTGCAGGGGGCAAGGAAAAACTTCCCCTTCACACTCTGAAGTTTTGCTGAAAAATCAACTCATAAAAGGCAGATCAATTAGAGGAAAAGGTGTGTGAAATTTATTAACACACATGGAGGCATCACGGTGCTTCCCACCGCCCAATGGGATGCAGAAAAGTATACACCATCTCAAGGTTACAGAAGGGATGGGGGCTTGGAGCATGGCCCAAACCAGGTTATGGTGGAAAATTAGGTTCTAGTGGCAAGACGGGTTATGGGAGGGAGAGAAGATGAGGCTTGGCTAGCAGAGGTGGCCTTGTCATGTGGATGAAATCTCACAGGTAGCAGCCCTCAGGGAGAACAGATGGTAATTGTTTCTTTCAGACTTTTTTTGTTGTTGTTGTTCCTGCAATATATTTCTTTTTATTTATTAATACTTAGAAGAATACAATGTACCGTTTTATGGAGCTTTTTCTTAATAGCAGATAGAAGACATTTTGCATACAAATACAGGCAAGAAAAAAATTAACACGTGACTTTTCAAAGTAAGAACAAGGAATACACCAAATCTACAACTTGGAGTTGAGGGAATTTTTTTTTTCTTGAAATAGGTGCTTTCTTGGGCATGACATGGCCCGATAAAAGCTCTAGACTTTGCAGATTGCAGCGGCATGAAGCTATTTCCAACACAGTGGATGAAGATGGATCTGGGGTAGAAAGGTGGTCATGGCTTTCCTCTTATATAAAACAATTTTCTTCTTCTCAAAATATCTATGCTGCAAATAGACACCCTTGCCCCTCAACCCACCCAACCTATTCTAAAAGAATAGCAATTTCAAACTTTAAGCCTCCTTCTGGCAAGATCCCAGTTAAAGAGAACCCAAAGTTAAAATGTCTTGAAACTCCTAGTTGTTTTCTTTCTGAAAGCAGACACAAATTTAGTGCTTTTCTCATTTGCCCTTTTTACTGAATGAATAGATGTTTTATTACCCTTCATTTGATCAATATACTTGGGAAGGATGTTTATCGAAAGCCTATGTCACTGCCTCTGTAGAAGAATGAAGTTAATGTTTAGATGGTGGCACCTCTGCCTATACCTTTGAGCACATTCAGTTAGGCATTTGGTTCAACTTCTGACTTAACATCTCATTGATTCAGTTTAAACATGTTACTTAATTGCCAAATGTAGAGAAACAAACAAACAAAAAAGGTGAAAATAATATGTTTTCAGTCTTTCAGACTTTTGAAGGTGTCAGACCCTAAATTAGTCTTTCCTAGATCTGGACAAGAGAAAGCCTGGCTGCATCAGTGTAAATTCTCCGCAGACGCAAATGTCCCCACGAAAGACAGCTTTGCAGGGCTACATCTCCACTTTAGGACCACCAGGTTCACTGTCCCGCTGTGTAGTCACAGACCTGGACACCAAAACAGCAGGAGTTGCAGGGGAGAAAGTTTAATAATCACTGGGCAGCTGAATGAGGAGATGGGAAGAGCCCCTCAAACCTGTCTCCCCAAAGAGTTCTGGACCCGGGTTCTTAAGGATATTCTGGCAGGCAGGGGGCTAGGGAATTGGCACAACTGCTTGGCTAGGTCTGGAGGGATGAAATTGTAGGGATGTAGAAGCTGCATTCTTGCACTGAGTCAGTTTCTCAGCTGGGCGCAGGGTTGGCTGGTGTCAGGGGGCCCATTGCAATGTGGGGTCTGGAAAATATCTAAGAAAACAATCTTAGTTTTCCTAACATTGAAGATGTTATCCATAGTAGCAATTAAGGGAAGCTATAAGACCTTATGCCAAAAGGCTACATGACTCCTTAAGTATAAAAGTAAACAGCTATAAGAGAGTGGGTAATGGGGCAAGCGCTGGTTAATGCTTAACTGTTTTTGTTTTTTTTTTCAAGACTTCTGTCCTTGTTAAAATCTCAGTAACTTTGTTTGAATTAATTTTATAAGGATGATTCCACCTCTGTCTGCTGGCTATCTGACAGCCATCTCAAAATATGTCAAAGAAATATATTTTAAGGTAAAACATTTTTATTGCCTTCAACAGTCATGGAGAAATACAATAGGGCAAAGAGTAAGAGCTCATGGTAATAAACTTAGCAGGCCTGTTTGTTCAGATTCTTCTCCGTGTCAGTCTGTCTTCAGAGATAAGGATGCTCCTTTCT